GGCCTCATTTCTGGGCGGGCAGTCCCTACAGCAGCAGCTCTTATGCTAGAAAATGGCCACAGAACGCCTAGGTCTAGGGCTATTTTAGGACTTAGAACACTCGGTGATTATGGCCTAGATTAAGTTTTAGGTGAGCCCTGCCGTCAGATTTCCCTCTGACCGTTGCCTGGGCGTCAGTACCCTCGGGAACGAACACCCTGAGCACTGAGCGGGCCTGGTGGGTCCCGTGGGATCATGAAACATACAACTGCCTCCTGTTCTCAACAGTGAGTCCCCCCATTCCTCTATGTGAGAGCTGAGGGGCCATTATTTCACCCACCATCGAGGTGCACGGGTTAGGGGCAGAGTTCGTGGATGGCCATGGAGGAATGGCACCATCTTGGAGCTGACCAGCAGGATGTGTTTGTCTATGCCTGGGAGTTTGACTGGATTTGATTGTAATTCAAACGTCAGGCATTAGACTGCATCAATACTAGAGATTTCCAAAGAGAGTTATTTGGAGCTTAAATGTTGACAAACACCTGCTTTAAATGCCCATCCTGAAAGCTTAGCTCCTAGGCCAATTCCTCCCTGCCCACCCCCCGACACACACACAGTGTAATGCAAAGTACCAGCAGAGGAAGGGTTAAGAGATGTCATTGTCCTCTTGCATCTGCTCTGCCTGTTGCAACTGGAAAAGGTTGGGATTAATCTTCGTAAAAGCAGTCATATTGGAAACACGAATGTGACTCTCACCATAACACTGGGCCCTTTATAGCCTGATGTCTAACTGCATTGGAATGTTATTCTTTCCATTGCTGTTATGACTGTACTTGGATTTGAAACTACTGGGTCTTGTTCCAGTACAAATCTCAATCTGCCCTTTCTCTTACAGACTTCAAAACATCCCTGTCTGCCTTATCCTACAGGTTTCCACTGAATCAAGATGCGAGGAGCATTTTGTATCCTACTGAGTGGCTTCGTCCCCTTTCAGAGTTCCAGGGGGGAGCCCCAGTTCACAGGGCACAGCTGGCTGGCCAGCGGTGAGCTTTTCCTCAGCCTCCCACTGTGGGGTCTCTCCCCAGCCTTACAGCTAATAAGGTGTATGGGCCAGTCTGAGGAGACCAAACATTATTTTGGAAATCTGGTGGTGCTAAGCCTTTGATCGCCGATTTCTAACTGTCTTGAAAACCTTTAGCCTTCCAACAGTTGCACGCTGTGGTTTTATGTCTGTGTGAGGTGACTAACAGCGCCGGCACTCTTGTGTGGGGAACGTATTCACCCAGCACCCAAACCACCTACCGGCTTCCGGCAGCTCTTATCAGCCCAGCCATCGGCCACGGGCTGACATTTCAGTGCTCAGAAGCTCCCTACCCCCACCTTTAAAAAAAAGTGACAGAAGGAGAAAAAGGCTCATTTGGCAATAGTTTGCTCTTGCTTTTTTGGCCTGGAGAAAGACATTGAAAGTGGTAGAAGATTGTTCAGTAACAGCTGGCGAGCACCAGGGTGTGAGGCTGATTTTCAGATATGACAGGCACTTACAGGAATGCTGCCAGATACAGCTGTTTAAAAGGCTTAATAAACAGCAAGTCAATACTAATCTTTGCCAAATTAATCTTTTCCCTGACAGCCCATCAGAGCAATTATGTTTAGGCTTATTGTAAACACACAATTGTCAAACAGGGACACTGCAGCCTTAAAATACTGTAGTTTGGTTTTTAGTCTCTGTTTGGGAGTGATTTTTTCTTTCTGTACATAGAATTATAAGTCATTCCATTTCATTTCCAGTTACTCCTTTTTTTTTTTCTTTCTGGCCTCATGTCAGCGTGAATGAAATTTCACTTTCAAATGTCTTTGCTAGCAAGCTGTTAATACAATGAGCGATGATGACACTGGAGGAGGCGTGCTGGTGTCTGCAGCTAACAAGGCATAGTTCCGACCAGTGCTGACATGAAACAGGTCACTGTCCTCAGTGGTCTCCGGTCCCAGGACAAGAATTCGCCTTCACTTCCTACCTCCTACAAGGTAATCTTGTTCTGGATACAAAGGACAAGATGTTGGTTGCATAAGAAAAGAGAAAACAGAGTCTCAAGTCTCCGCAGACATGTGCTGCAGAGCCTATACATCGTGGTTTAGAAATGACCCCTCCCTCCCCGCACCCCCTGCCTCCCTCCTTTAGGGCTGTGGCAAGGAGCGGCTCCCCACGCCCTTCCTGCAAGCAATAGTCTCGTGTGAGGGAAGGCTCTCCTATACTGGGACCTGGTTCTAAATAAACCTAGGGAAATCTCCTTTGAGCATCTTTGGAAAAAAAAAAAAGGACAGTTACCAGGAGAGAAAGCGGGGGGGTGGGGAGTTGGATGAATTGGGAGATTGGGTTTGATATGTATACACACTATATAGAAAACAGATAACTAATAAGGACCTACTGTGGACCACAGGAACCTCTTCTCAACACTCTGTAATGACCTATATGGGAAAAGAATACAAAAACAGTGGATATATGTATAACTAATTCACTTTGCATACAGCAGAAACTAACAAGGCACAGAAAATCAACTATACTCCAATAATTTTTTTTTGTTACGTTAAAAAAAGACCACTTCTTACCTTGGTGTAATTTAAGTAGAGCCAAGGAAATGGAGTCTTTTACTGGTTACATCAAGTCATACTTGCACTTGGTAATTAGAAAAACAATTCAGTGTCCTGTTCATCAGTGTTTTAATTTAGCATTCTATAAACTTGGCTCCTGAAATCTCTCTCCTGCTCTCAACACTCCTACTTGTCTGACACCTTTTTTTCTCCTTGGCTTCTCATTTTCTCGATGTGACTACAGTATATTCCATCTTGTAGTTTTGTAACTAGAAACTCCTGTTTGATTATGCAGACCAAAAGACTATAGCATAACTCATTCCGAAATTCTTTCTTTTGGTAACCTTAGGTTTATTAATGAAAAATTTCCATTCTTCTTCACCTCCCAATTCTTGTCTGCAATATTTAATGCCCTTCTATGTTTAAAGAGCTTTTAAATCATATAATGGCTGTTGAGGGTAGTTTGTGATGTACTGCTGATGCTTCTACTTATCATCGTTTTTATTGTGCACCTACTATGTGCAATGTGGAGAAGGAGGTGGCAACCTACTCCAGTATTCTTGCCTGGGGAGTCCCATGGACAGAGGAGTCTGGTGGACTAGAGTCCATGGGGTCATGGAGAGTTGGACATGACTGAAGCGACTTAGCAGCACTACATGCAATGACATTCCAAGTTGCTTTGGAGGTATAGAAATCTCTCTGTTTTGAGATCTGTACTGTTGGGTGACTCATATGAATTCATACATTAGGTGACTCAGTATAGTAAGTGTCTGAGGGTTAAATTTATGATGTGAATTCTGTACCTTGCCTTGGCATCATTTCAATGTTTGGCCATCAGCAAAATAGGTGGATTTCTCTGTTTCTGTAGTTATCTTAAAATGAGAGTTATGAATGGAATAAGAAAATGCAGATCACATCTCCTTTCAACAAATAAACATTAAGAGAACATCTATGTGTAACAAAACTTTCATGTTTCAGCAGATAGTCTATTTATTACAAATTTCCACTTAATTTTTTTACTATAACAAAGAAATAGGATGTTTGTTGTGGTTTCCTAGAATCTGGAAATTTGAAATATTCTTTGTTTGGTTGAACGTAGCTGTCTGGGACTGACTAGAAGTGGGGAACCTAGTAGACAAACAACATTACTTTCTGGGTCTTTTCACCTCAGACTTTGTAAAGAACTTCTAAGTACATTTGAAATTATATTGACATTGTAGCTAAAACTCCATCATCTCTAATTCCCAACCATATTGGATGGAACCATATGAAGTTGCCATTTTTTAGGTAAAAGAGTCGTATATAGGCAGTTTCATATGGCTCAGTATAGTTACCTTTCAAACATGTGGGGCAACTCTTTTGCAAAGGGTTCCTTTGCACAAAAGGTTCCTTTCCACAGGAAAGGAAAATTGACTGTTGATGTGCTTATCTTAAATTTTGAATTCATAAATCAAAAATAATTTCTTAGTAATGAATCTGAGTCAGGACACATGGTTCTTTGTTGTCACAGATGTTGGTGGATCACTGATGCCTTGATCAGAAAGGACTCCTTCTCTTCAAGGCAACAAGGTAAAAATGATCCCAGAGACCAGCTTTCATCTTTAGCCATGTTCACTAGTTTGACAAACTCAAAGTTGTTATGTGACTGATTTTCCATTGTCAGCTCACTCACAATGGAATGGCAATTGGGGTTTTGGATTATTTTTTCTTGTGGACATTACAGAGACAACTCAACCTTCTCCTAGCTGCTGTCAGACCTTTTTTTCTCTTTTCTTTTCTAAAGAGTTATAACTGTGACTTTGGTGTGTTGGGAAAGATATTCTATATTCAGCACTATCGCCAAGTCTCTCAGAATGCCTTTCCTGGAAGTCTGGGAATCCTATGGAGAGCTACATAACAGAGAACTCGGTGGACACCATCATTGTTCCTTATGGTTACAAGTTGGGAGCTGTGGGCCCAGGCCGAATTCTGGCTTCCTGAAAAGTGGAGGGTTTCTCAGGCAACATCTGACAAAGGGTGTTCTCAGTGTTTCAGGAAGGAACACCTGTGGCTGGGGTTCATCCCTTCTGGGCCTAATCACTTCTGCCATGAATTTTGGGATCTCTCCTTTGGCTGGGTGTGTCTTTCAGAGATTGATGGATATTCAAATAGAATACGGTCATTCATCATAAGAGTTTTTATTTTCATTTATTTTATTTTATTTTATTTTACTTTTTTTTTTTTTTTTTTACTGTTTTTGGTGTTGAGTGTCAACACTCTCTCTACCCTGGTTGCACACCTGCTCTAGAAAAACTGTAAACAGCATTGTACTTTCCTGTAGAACCCACCTGTCAAAGCTGGTTGTTCTCATCCCGGTAATTAGTTTCTCAGTTTAGACTTGACACAAATGAGAACGTTACTTTAGCATAATATAATAAATAAAAGACATTAGGTAATTAGTAGTGCTGGTATATTTCTAAAATACTAAACAGACAAACAATAAACTGTGAACTTAATCACATGAGTTCTTATACAGTTTCAAGACAGGAAAATTAGAGCTCTCAGCTACAGTCATTTTAATAATCACATTGGATCTGCATTATTTATTAGTTATTACATGCTCAACTGATTCAAGGTTGTACAATGCCTAAAATCATTTCAAAGCAAGCATACCTTTTGTCTCTTGAATTCTGACTGGATTACATAATGCATATATTTGTATTTATTTAAATTGCTAAGTTTATTTCACACTCCATGAAAAAGACATCAGCCATTCTCTTGATTTCCAACCAGACTGGTTTTCTTGATATAACTCTGAAGGGCGTAATTTGCTCTTTCTGATGTAAAAGCTATGCCAGCCTTCAGCCAGATTCTCAATGCTTTTGGTTCTTTAGCAAATCCCTAGTACCCTCTGAGTACCCTCAGAATTCTCTTGGAAGACCCAGGAGTTCTGGAAAGAGAGTAGCTTGTGGAGGCACAAATGGCAACAAGATCCTCAGTTTCTATCAAATTTCAAACTGGGAATGCGTCCCCTTTTTCCTGTCTGGTTACTCACCTTTCATTTTTAGATATTCTGGACAGTGTGCCTTCCCTTTCCTCCTGTCCCCAGTTTAATTCCTAAATGTTTTCTGAATTTTGTGAAAAGCATGCAGCTTGAGGAATTTGACTGATTTGACTTTAATTATTTTTTGGGAGGGGCAGGGGGAGGAAGTTTACAGAATTGACTAAAACCAGCTGAGAACCAAGAAGCCACCTTTTCCTCTCAGGTAGGGAGCTCATCTATTCAGTCTTGGAGCCTGCGTGACTTTTAGGGCAATCTTCTGTTCTATTGTATGAAGAAAGAAATTCTTAAATATCACAGTTTTTCATTTGCGTCAACCAAAGAAATATAGAAATAGAGGCTGGTTACTTAAATTTGCTGCTAAAATGAAAAGTAGGTTTGGCTTTATTCACTGTAAAAACTAAATAATAAAGTATTCACACCAAGCGTGAATTTTTTTTTTTTTGCCAGCAAAAGTTAAAACATCAAAGAAACCTCTTTCAAATACTAACAAATTTACTTACAAACACCTATATTTATTATTTCATAAATAGGCGCAACAGTTTCCATAAAAAAAGATTAAATACAGACACATATGAAGAAACAATAATACAGAGCCCTATGTAAAGGTTATAATTTAGCTGTTTTCAATTTCTTTCTGCATCTAATAAAATACCAGGTAAGCATTTGGCAGTTTTATACATAAAAGGGCTTAAATGACATTAACTAACCATTACACAAAAAGTGATACAAAAAAGCAATTTTTCTGCAGTACAAAATAAACGGTGTTTGCGCTTCCCCTCACACTAGTTTCTTTTTGTCTGATCAATGAGACAAAGCCAATTTGTTTTTAAATTAAAATCATTTGGGAGTACGTTTTTTTCAAATATTTTGAAAATATAGAACTATTAGTTGTTTTAAAAATGAAGTAAAAATATGAATGTTTGCCAATTTAACCCCTATTGTGAAATCAATAAACTGGAATGAGCCAGTTTCAAATCACAATTTAGCTACAAAAACATTCACATTTTATACTCTAGGAGAGTGTGACATAGATGCTATTTACAAACTTGCTATGACTGCTACATCAAGCCATTTAAAAAGTCTTTAGTAGTTTCATATAAACACCCATTATGAAAACCAATGGAAAATCCAGGACTTTTATCCAAGACATCTATAGTTGCTAAGGCAGTTACTATAGCGCAGCACTTCACAGCAAAAAACCAACATAAAATCTGAATGGTTCAAAGTTCCTTCAGGGAAGAAGAAAAACAATGTCCATAAAGGATTAAAAAAATAATAAAGATAAAGAAGCATGACTATTTCTTCCAGAGTGGGTGACCCACAAGCTCAAATGGTCCTAAGTGCTTAGCAACTTGTATTTTTTCTAATAAAATGGAGAACTGCCTTGACTGTACAAAGCAATCCATGGTGAAAAGACTTCCCTGAATGCCTCAGTGGAAAGAAGAGGTGTCTGGAGTTTCAGGTAAGGTACAGTGCTTTGTCCCTCTGCATGCCCCTGTGTGGAGAGAAAATAGACAAGCAACCGGTGTTAACAGGACAGCCCTGCTGTGGGTGACCAAGCGGGATGTGTCTGTCTGCTCTAGCTTGAGGGGTGGGGTTGGGCATGGGGAAAGTGCACAGTGAAAGCCAAGAGGATTTAAAGGCATTTACTCTTGGAACGCTTAAAAATTTCTGGTTTTGAGAACATGGAACCATTCCAGATTATCTTTTGGAAAGCTGGAAGAAATAAAGGATCGTTCCATGACATGCCTGTTATGAGAGTTGTCTGCCACCAGGTGGCGATGGCCGGCCGCTTACCCACTACTGCAGTAGTCATTATTCCAGTCCACCGGCTGGGTGGGAGGATTTCTGCACCCGGAGCGCACATACTCCATGGCCTGGGTGACCACTTGTGCAGCTGTAGATGTAGGATTGATTATGGCCTGATAGTCCGGTTGAAGATTAAATCCCTGAAAAGCAAAGCAAGTCCACAAATAAGGATCAAAGTGCCTTGTTAAGAAGAAAAGCACCTAAATATTTAGCCACTGTTTGCAAACACTACTGCCTTCTTGCTTGTGCCCCTGCAAGGGCAAGCTAATCCCAAGAACCATGAAAACTTAAAACAAAGATGGAAAAGAAGTGCCCACACTCCATCTTTCTCACCTTTCCTTCCTTTAGCCATGTGTTACTTGACTTGTACTCTTGAGCAGATACATTGAATTGAGAAACAATGTAAAATTTAGAAAAGCCAACTCAACCAAAACAAAGGGAAAAGGCCCTAAACCCCTCAGAGTTTATGTTTTCTGTCTAACCTAAGGATACATTAATAGTTAATCCCCAGAATATGCAACAGAATCTTTTCTGAAGGATTCAGGCAGCAGGTGGCTGAGTGTTTTATTAGACTACACCTATTCACATATTGTTCTCAAAACCCTTTTTCTTCATTCAATCACAAAGGGACCATCTGCTTCTTCTTTTATTTGTACTTCTTTCTCAGCTAAAAATTTCAACCAAAGCTTTTTAACAGTTGTTGGGCTAATACAGGGAAGGAGATTCAAAACAACTTGCCACTGGAAAACACAGAGGAGGAAAAGTATAAGACAGAGCAAATATTTTTTAATTGAAAAGTCTATTAACTGGCAAATAATAATCAGACTTCAGGAAGGTTCTTTTAACACACTGGTGTGGTGAAGTGTTGACTTTTAATCCTTGCAGAGCTATTAAAAATTCAAGGACAGAATCTCTGAAGTAGATAGCTGTATCTGGTAAACAAAAAGCATTATACGCTAAGAGTTATTTTTAGCTTATCTGGTGAACTCAAGGGCTGCATAAGCAAGCTTTGCTGGAAATGACCAAAAAAAGCAACTTAATTAATCTCATGGTTGTCTCTTTTTGCAGCAGATTTCATACATGGTTTTTACCCACTGAAAAAACAAGAGATTTAAAAACAAATCATTTTCCATTTATTTGCAGGGAGCTTCTTTTGAAAGAATAATATTGTTGAGATTTTATCTTTTAAAAAAATTCAGCATAATGATCAGAGAATTGATTTTAAACTAAGGCTATTTCCTTAGACTTTTATTCATTTGCAGGTACCCTGGGTAAAGACTCAAAGACATCTATTATCAAATGTCCTCAATTCTCAGTATTGGCTTTAAGGTATTAAATTATTTTCCATTCAAGGGATAAAGACTTCAAGCCAATGTCCAGGCAAACTCCCAACAAAGGTGCTCATGAAAGACAGAGCACTGAATGACTGGAAACAAATCACTGAAAAGTAGAGTATTCAGTCAGCTTGGTCATTTGACCTCACACAGCCTAGAAAGAGTAGTGTTTCCTAAACCAACAACTGGTTTGTGAGAGGGAAGTTTGTTTATGTAGATACCACCTGCAGCTCCAGCCATAAACATTTTCCAAAGCAGGGGTGTGTGAGAAGCGAGAGGAATATAACTGGATGTTTGGTACTCCAGCCCTTTCCAGGCTGACGTCCACTCTTTCTCCAGACCATCTTGAGTCTGGTCCTTTAATGTCTTAATGGGGCTTACTGTCCAGTTTTATGGATCTCTTTCCCAAGTGTCTTATGTAATGTTAGGCACACAAGCAGGAAAAGGCCCCCAGGGAGAGGAACCTCAGGCTGATTTTTATTTCAGCCCCCTCATCAGGGTTGCCCAGTGACCAGAGAGTGTGTTGCTTACTGGATATTCTCAGGGTCAAGCCCATAGTAGTGGCTCAATAAATCATGTTTTCCAATAAATGAATTTTAACATCAACTATTTGATGCTACTCTTCAAAAGGCCTGGCGAATATAACTGTGTAAATACCAAGGCTTTCCTATCTTTTTAATGTAAAGTTCTCCATATTGGATTTTTGCACAGTCAACGAAACATAACTTAAAAGTAAATAAGTCTGAAAACTAGAGTAGTTGAAAATATTTCATGTTAGGTGAAGGTATGGAAACATATGAGACAGCAAAAAATAAATAAAAACAATCCAACCTGCTTCTATCCAACACCACACAATCAAAGAACAGAAATGACCATTGCTTTTTTTCTATCCAATGAACATGGCCCCTCAAAGATGGGAAAGAGAATATCAGGAGAACATTAATTTTTAAGTGATCGGTTTAAGATTAAATGGGTAACTTCAGTTTATAAAACCAAAATGATGTGTTATCTACAAAGCTCAAAGATTTAAAATTTAGCTGACTTCAATGCCTAAATTTAAGATCACTAGTATTAAAACAAACATGGACCAAGGAAAAGACAAACAAAGCCTGAAGAACATAATTTTACTTGCTTTCAATTTAGAAAATGAAACTTTTTTCTGATGACTGTATTAAGAGATGCTGAGGTCAAACCCAGAAATAACGGTATTTTTATTATTGTTGTTGTATGAAACAACAATGATGATAGAAACTTTTGAAAAAATGTTTGCTTAATGATCTAATTAAACAAGACTGAATATTTTGCATTTTAATGCTCAAGAGAAAAATCACCAACTGTTTTGTAGCATGCCTGGAATTTTAACTTTCATTTTCTGGTGCCAGATTGAAATAAAAATAGGAAACATGATAAAGATTAATTTGATGTCAGAAGGGACATTTGCTCTTTAATTAGATTTCTATAGCCCTAGCAGTTTTGTTGTGCCACCATATCAAGTCCTAAAAAAGCCTGCAGCAATACCAAACGGTGATCCTCATATCCACACTTTACTGGGAACTAATTTCATTTCCTGCCTGTCTGGAGAGGTCTTTTCAACAGGCATCAATGTTTTTGTCTTCACAACTGATTTATTCATCAATCTCAATGTGATTTTTTTAAACCTTTAAATTACACCCAAATCCTAAAGCAGCTGTTTATTACACAAGGAAATTGAAAATCTGTCTGTGTGATATCATACAAAGATTTTTTTTCTTAAGGTTATAAAGGAAGTTGACAGATATTAATGATTTTTTTCTCTTGACCTCATTCGACAATATAGTGAACAGGAAAAAAGGAAGAAAACTGGACTGAAAAATAAACCCTAGGTCTATGGGTTTAGTGTATAAAATATTATTCTATAAAAAATAAAACTATTACTCCTAGTGGATGATATGATCATTTTTAGGATACATTCATTTTCAAAAGGATAATAAAATAACTAAAGTAATGCTGAAATATGAAACATGACTGTAAAAATACAGTAGCCATGAACTTTCTTGCTCTTTCTCTTTTTCTTTTTTGGTGTTTGAAAATGGGAACATGGCCAGGAAGCAAACACCTTCTCGATAAAGATGATGAATCCAACAGGTCTAATTCCAGCCATCAGCTTTCTACAACCCACTTTGATGACATGAACATTGGCCCCACAGAACACTCTGATTGTAATAAACTGAGTGACATGGAGGCGTGACCGACACTCTGAATCTGATTTTAGGATTATCAATTCGTTGAGACTTCCAGTCTTCTTAACCTGCAGGATTCTCTCCAGTGATCTACCCTGACTCTGACCTCATTGCCCATCACTCTCCATTCCTCACCATGCTCCCCACTGGCCTCCTTTCAATGTCCTGGATAAGCTAGGTTCCTCCCAACTGGCCCTCCAGGCCGGAGTCCCTTCTCCTTGCTATGCTCCCTGCTAGTATCCATCCCACCCTCTTCCCACCCTCTGATTCCGAGAGGCTGCCTCCTCTTCTCTGCCTGCTCTTGAGAGATACCTTCTTTATCCGTCCCAGCCAAAGTACTGTTATTCCTCCACACATCCTGTAGTTTGTCCCCTTGTTTAATTTTTCCCATGGGATCCTAATAACTTACCTGTTTCTCTTATTCCCACGGCTCCCCTTCTCCATTCCACCCCCAACTCTGATGTGAGCTTCATAGGGGTAGAAGCTGCTCAATTTCAGACAGCGCCTGGCATGTGTTAAGGGGTTCAATGAATCTTTTTTGAATAAATGAAAAATTTTTTAACTTTTAAGGATTTGAGATTCTACAAACTAGCCTGTAATTTCTTCTAATATGTAAGCTTCTGCAGCTCATTTTTTTTTAATTATTCCTTCGTTTGTTAACTTGTCCCTTCAGCAGGTATTTTATTGACTACCTACAATGATCAAGGCATCATAGTGATTTTAGTTACCATGGTCTCTGCAGCTGCACTGACTCTCCGTTTTGGGTTCTTGCCATTTTGTCTTCTATTATTAATGTAAGTTAAAATCAAGTCCTATCATCTCAATAAGAAAACTTTCTGAGATACACTAATAGAACTCACTTAAATATTGATAAGTAACGTGTCCAATGTAATCTGCCCTATTTTTCCCTATTAAGATTCTATGTGGAAAGACACATCTCCTGAGTTTCCAAATGTGGCCCTATATAATTCAGAAATGTTTGAAAACTATTTAGGGTCACATCTAGCTCATCTAAGGTATAGAGTATAAACAGACAATGAACTGTCTCTGAGTGGATAAATTAATAAAAAGTGTTCTCTCTTCACAGAGCTCTGTCCCCCAACCTGGGGAGTGGACCACATCTTCTGTATTTTTTCTTCTGAGAAGAAACACCCCTCACTCCAGCACTGAGAGCAAAACACGGGCCCTCAACTGGGTAAGCTGAGGCACCCTCAGGCAGAAGTCAGCCCACCCCGCTAAGGGCCTCTCAGCTCTTCACCCACACACTGCTGGTTCATTAAAATGCAAGGAACTCACGAATGTCCCTTTTATCAAGAGTAATGTCTGATGGAAAGAAGGACCCTATTAATGTCACTCACTGGTCACAAACCTGCCGTAGACAAGGAGGTCGGTCTTTCCCAGTGAGTCTACAGCTCGTTTGTTGAACACGTAAGTCAGTCATCTGAGCTTTATCAATATCCTTGGCTTGGGGACCAAACAAGACTTCGGTAGAGAGATTAGTCCTTTGTTCTCCATGATCATTTAATCTCAGAACTAACTAGGATTTACAGAGCCTCCCAAGTCTTAGGAGAAACTGTTAAGAATTGACAAGAACAAGTAAGAGTGAGAAGCAGTAGGCCTAGCATTTAAGAATCAAGGGAGGGGATATATGTATACCTATGGCTGATTCATGTTGAGGTTTGACAGAAAACAACAAAATTCTGTAAAGCAATTTTCCTTCAATTAAAAAAAAGAATCTAGGATCTGACTACTGAACAGGGCTAGGTTTGAATTCCAGCTCTGACCTATGGGCAAGTTAGTCAACTCTGCTGAACTCTGTCCTCTCACCTGTGAGATGAAGGCAAGGTCAGGACCTGCACTGTGAATTTTCTGAAATTAAAGAGGCGGTAAGGTAATGTATTAAGGTTTGTAATTGTTACCATTTGGAAATCCTGTCTATAATAACAATAATAAAAATGGATTTAGGACTATGTATATCTGATTCCTATTTCTGCCTCCCCTCCACCCCACTGTGGCCAACTATAGACTATAACAGAGGGCTCCTACATCACTCTTATAGGAAGACTTTGCATATTTAATTATAGACCTGGGAACAACAGTCATTGGATTATGAAAGTGATAGGTTAATTTGATATGATTTATAGTTTCTACCTTGACCTGTTTTTTTAAAACACATTTTTAGGCTTTTTAAATGCTTTGTATTCAGCTTACTTTACATCATTTGCTCCTAATTCTCAAATTTTAAAATAACCCTAAAATCCAGAAGGAAAACGATTTCAAAGACAAGTTAAGCTAAGATTGCACACAAATGGTTTCCATCTTGTAGGATTTGTTGGATTCAACAGGCGTATCATCAAGAATTTCTCATTTCTGAATAATATACTGATTATATACGCATATGTGTATATATGTGTGTGTGTGTATATGTATGTGTGTATATATGGCAGACTTCTCAGCCCCAAAGAGATCTTTAGCAGTAGTGGCATCTGAAAACAACAAATGCGCCTCACTCAAAGGCAGAAAACAGGGAGAGTGACAAGAAAGATGGGTACCGTGGGAAAGAAGTCAGGGATTATGAAAGGCAGAAGCTGTTGTGATCCTGCGAGGCTGCCTGACTCACCCCTGCAAGTTAATTTTCAGGAAGCAGGTATTTGCTGAAGATCTCCCATTCTCTCTCCACTTACAGAGAAGAATGGAACCCCCACCCAATCCACCAGAGGAACAGATGCCCCAGCACCTCTGAAGGGGAGCCCAGGGCCCAGCCTGCACATACCTGCTGCATGGTGGGGGAGTGTAAGGCGGGCTGGACCTGCATGGGGAGCTGGGTCCCCAGGGGCTGCTGCATGGAGAGCGGCTGGTGCTGCTGCAGGTTGAGATGCTGGTGAAGAGGGGGGCTGATCTGGAGGGGAGGAGGGGGGGACACAGCCATGTTGGCTATAGAGACAGTCACTGGCATTTGGTTGTTGGCCTTGGGTGCTATGCTCCTGGGGAGACTGGGATGCATGGCGGTTAGGTGAGGGTTCATTCCTGGTTGTTGGTGGTAGTGGGAACTTAGGTACAGAGCTGAGTGGGCCTGGCTGGGCCCGGGGAACACAGACGGCGGCTTGGCATTGATCAGCTGTGGAGGCTGAGCCGGCTTCACGTCAACAGGCTCACTGTAGCTCTGTGGAGAAACAAACAGGAACTGAGTTAAGAGGCGGACACCCAGGGCTGCTTTTTCTTAGCAAGATGCTCTGTGAGTTCACTCGTGAACAGTCACATGGATCAACACCTGTTACTACTCTTGACTCCAAGAACTCCTCCGTCATCACTTGCCACATGACCTGATGCAAGCCTGAGCTCATTCCACCTCTCTTATGAAATCTAAAACAATGTATGTTGACATTTCTTCTTTGCTTAAATGTTAAGCTTTAATTTGGTGCCTTTTCTCATCATCCAAAGATGAAAAGATGAGGGGTGCGTGTGGTGGATGAAGTCAGAGTCCTACCAGGAACTACCAGTGTGGCTCACTTGGAAGGGAAGTCAGTGAGGGAGTTTTCTGTTGACTATATGCTTCGCTTTTTATTTTCCCTTTTTATATTCTCAAAGACCTTGACATTAGATATTGCACAAAGAAAACAAAGTTGGTTGATGGAATTGGATAAGGAAGAAAGAGTTCAAAAATGCCTTTCTGAAGTCATATAAAACCACATTAATATATCTTCAAAGTAACTGTAGAACTCATCTTGATTTTTTAAAAGAGTTGGTGATGAATTGTCCTCAATAATGAACTGGATAAAAATAATCTCTCTTAGAAATTTTAGACTCCATCATAAATTAATACATTTTTTCCTGAATTTTTTTACACACATTCAAATGGTCATTTCCTAATAATCTTTTTAATTGACTTAAAATCTAGATATTTCAGTGGAAGCTGAAAAGTATCAAGAATGAACCCCAAGGTGTTTCTTCTCGGGCATGAAGCTGTCTCCTACTTTTGCTGAGAGGAAACAAACATTTGTTTGTTGTTGTTTGCAAAACAAATGGTAAAAAGTGAAACCAGGTGGAGAAAGAAGATGCCAAAATCTCCTTCTGGAGAAAAAAGTCACTTGGTCAAAACCAGGTCCTGAGGGTGCATCTGTGCCCTTATTCAGTGCCTCTGATGTCATGCTTCTTCCATCAATAAGTCAATACAAGCCTCTCGCTACCCAGCACAGCAGGGCCTTCCTGGGCTTCCCCTGCTCAGTCTCCTTGCAGCTCGGGCACTTTTAGGAGCCTGGTTCATTACATACGGTGACAGGAAACTCCATGTAGGGACTTCATTGCACAAGTCAGCCAGCAACACAAGTCGCTTCCTCCCCACAGTGTAGGGGATTGAGCGAGAGCCACAGGAAGAAGGGTTATGCATGTGCGCTGACTGCAGGAGGCCAGGCTGAGGTGCTGGACTGGTGGGCTCACATATTCTCTGCATAGGAATGACCCGAATGAGGTCTCTAAAAGTACATCAGCCATGGAGATGTGGGGTCCTGAGAGACCCTGGTTACTCCATGCAGAGTAGATAGTAAGGTGAGCCCTAAAGAACTCAAGCTCCTCCAAAGAACCTTCTCATTATATTTTTCTGTGTTAGTAGTGATGCAGTTTTCTGAAACAGGAGTAGACATTGACTCCCTGTCTTCTGCATTAACATGAAACAGGTCAAAAATTGTTCACAAAAATTTTCAAGGGAAGGCTTTGGATCAAGAGTTTAACTAAATGTAGTACCTAAAAGGAACTTTCAACTGATAAAAAAAACTTGAGTCTTTTTTTTTTTTTTGCTTCCATTTAAAAATTCTTATTGCTGGAATGCAGAGCAGTGAACAATTAAAGGAGAAGGTCAAACGAGTTAACTCAGGCTGTGTAAACAGTGACTTGTTTTACATCAGAATAACATAGACTGCAGTGATATGCCTCAAAAATCATCCCATATATGCCAAGAAGATTATGTACTTGTTGCCTGTGTGTTTAAGTCATGTGGGAAAGTGTTTTCATTGTATTGCATTCTCACTTCTTTTCCCAGTTGTGGAAGGGCTAATTTCATATTTAGTCACACACCGTGCCAATTTCATACAGGAAAGGAACAATCACACAACGACCAAGAGAGCTACAAAAATCAATACATGTTAGTGCATCTTCCTTTTTGTTTTATAGTTGCTTAAACTTTTTAAACAGAAGAAAAACCACTCACAATTCCTATACTATCAAAATTATAAAATAGATGTCGTTTTAAAACATTTTCACTTTTTATTTCTGGAGCCAATAATCACATCATTATCTAGTGACATGGTGTACACAGAGCAGTAGATAGGTATCCTGTGCACGTGTGTGTGTGTGTGAAGACAAAAAGACATGTTCAGATATGTTCATACATTCATCTCAGGCATTCCAACAATATTTAAACAAGCCTAAAATATGTGAACTGTGAACTTCTAGATGTTCAAGCTGGTTTTAGAAAAGGCAGAGGAACCAGAGATCAAATTGCCAACATCCACTGAATCATCGGAAAAGCAAGAGACTTCCAAAAAAACACCTATTTCTGCCTTATTGACTACACCAAAGCCTTTGACTGTGTGGATCACAATAAACTGTGGAAAATTCTGAAAGAGATGGGAATACCAGACCACCTCACCTGCCTCTTGAGAAACCTGTATGCAGGTCAGGAAGCAACAGTTAGAACTGGACATGGACCAACAGACTGGTTCCCAATAGGAAAAGGAGTACGTCAAGGCTGTATATTGTCACCCTGCTTATTTAACTTATATGCAGAGTACATCATGAGAAACGCTGGGCTGGAAGAAGCACAAGCTGGAATCAAGATTGCCGGGAGAAATATCAATAACCTCAGATATGCAGATGACACCACCCTTATGGCAGAAAGTGAAGAAGAACTAAAGAGCCTCTTGATGAAAGTGAAAGAGGAGAGTGAAAAAGTTGGCTTAAAGCTCAACATTCAGAAAACTAAGATCATGGCATCTGGTCCCATCATTTCATAGGAAATAGATGGGGGAACAGTGGAAACAGTGGCTGATTTTATTTTTGGGTAGGCTACAGTCCATGGAACTGCAAAGAGTTGGACATGACTGAGCGACTAACACTTTCAGTTTTCTTCAGACACAGTAAGGCAAAATTCAAAATAAACCATGAATCAAATTCTCCTGAATTCCACTTTCTAAACTGTGTAGAGATAAAGACAGACACACAGACACAGACAGAAACCTACTTGAGATACTTCATTGCCAACTTTGAGAAGATTCTCTTTACTCATGGTTACTAAACACAAAATCAAGACTGCCAGGAGAAATATCAATAATCTCAGATATGCAGATGACACCACTCTTATGTCATAAAGTGAAGAAGAACTAAAGAGCCTCTTGATGAAAGTGAAAGAGAAGAGTGAAAAACTTGGCTTAAAGCTCAACATTCAGAAGACTAAGATCATGGCATCTGGTCCCATCACTTCATGGCAAATAGATGGGAAAACAATGGAAACAATGTTTATGTTTTTGGGCTCCAAAATCACTGCAGATGGTGACTGCAGCCATGAAATTTAAAGATGCTTGCTCCTTGGAAGAAAAGTTATGACCAACCTAGACAGCACATTAAAAAGCAGAGACATCACTTTGCCAACAATGGTCCGACTAGTTAAAACTATGGTTTTTCCTGTAGTCATGTATGAATTTGAGAATTGGACTATAAAGAAAGCTGAGTGCCTAAGAATTGATGCTTTTGAACTGTGGTTTTGGAGAAGACTCTTGAGAGTCCCTTGGACTGCAAGGAGATCAAACCAGGCAATCCTAAAGGAAATCAGTCCTGAATATTTATTGGAAGGACTGATGCTGAAACTGAAACTCTAATCCTTCGGCCATCTGACATGAAGAACTGACTCACTGGAAAAGACCCTGATGCTGGGAAAGAATGAAGGCAGGAGGAGAAGGGGATGACAGAGGATGAGATGGTTGGATGGCATCACTGACTTGATGGACACGGGTTTGGGTGGACTCTGGGAGTTGCTGATGGACAGGGAAGCCTGGCGTGCTGCAGTCCATGGGGTCGCAAAGAGTCGGACACGACTGAGTGACTGAACTGAACTGAAACACAAAACATTTTGTCTATTCAGCCATTTGTTTGTCATGTGTCTTCTCCATTCTAAAGCATGAAAAGATCAGTACTGTTAAGTCTATTTTGAAGGAGTATTTTTTAATCACTACAAGGAATATAACAAGTCAAACAAATTTCCAAAACTAAGGATTTAGACAACACTTGAAACAATTTTTAACACACACAGAGAAAAATTTTTAGGAAGTTACATGTTTTCCCTACACTTTTGAAGTCGCTGAATATGACAAGATAAGTAATGAAAGTAGCCATGCGCCTGAACATGGCAGGCACTGCACTGGGGGTTCTCTTCCTGTATTCTCTCTTCACCATCATTTCCTGCACCATCAGGAAAGGATGTTTTTTGGGGCGCTGCATGGCTTGTGGGATCTTAGTTCCCCCACCAGGGACTGAAACTGTCCCTGGCAGTAAGAGTGCTGAATCCTAACCACTGGACTACGAGGGGATTCCCAGGAAAGGATTGTTTAAAGGTCAGGAGTAGAATCTTGTGTCCCATGCATCTGTCACAGTGCCAAGTACAGAGAAGACAAACATATTTGCTGAGTGACTGAATGACTGTCGTTGAACAATACTGGGAGCAGTCACTGCTGCCCTTGCTGAGACTCCTGACAAGACATACCATTCCTCTTTCTAAGGAGTAGGTTTTCAAATCTTTGAAAACTCACAGAATATCAGATTGCTCTTCACCATCTGCTCTCATCATGAATCACACCCTTTCGGAAGAAGTGGGAGATTACAAGCCTAGCTTTGCTCTTTAGTTGGATCCCATGGGCTCTGCTCCCCACTGGGCCGGCATGGATGGCAGGAAGCAGGGAGGCTTACTGTGTTTCACCCCTATCTTGAGAATTTGTATCTTTATGTAGAGATCCACTCATTTAGGCAGGGAAAAAACTTGCTTGGGCCTCACTTCTCAATAATTCTTAATCAGACTAATAAGCAGTCACAGAGTTGTTTCACTGTTTTGGAAGATAGGTAAAATGAGTTCATTTTCCATAGCAAAGTGTCATGAATTCATAATCTGATTAAATGGAA